CCCGCCCCTCCTCCTATTCCCCTCCTCCCTCAGGGCATTCGATCGCCCTTCTCGAGAACGCGCACAACGAAACCGATTGATGCTGCGCAGCGCTCGGGACGCCTCCTCCTTATTACGTGTCACTCTCTCCTCCCTTTCTTCTCCATGTCTCTCTCTCTCTCGCTGTGCGCCTCAATAGATCTGCCGACAGAGCAGGCGTCCAGGGTATTTATCTTGCCCTCGGGGCCGAGTTGGGGCTGAGAGCAACACAACAAGGCCGTTGATTCTTGCCTTCTTTTCATTGCATCTTCTTCGCGAGATAGTGACGCGGCTTGAAATGTGGTATGAATTTTCGACCGCCTGGTATGTGCATGTGTCGCTGGTGTGTGTGTGTGCCGCGGTGGTGTGTGTGTGTGTGTGTGCGTGTGGCGTGCCTATGTGTGTGTGGTCGTGTTCGGTGAGAGCGCCGATTGTCGTGTGTGGCCTGGTGTGTGGTGCGTCGTGTTCATGCGTGTGACTGTGTGCTGGTTGTGTGTGTGTGTGACTTGTGTGTGTGCGTGTGCGCGCACGTGTGTGTGTGCGTTGTGTGTTGTGTGCCGTGTGCCCGCGCACTGTACGTTGTGTTGTGCTGTGTGTGAGTGTGGTGTGGGCAATGTGTGTGGTCCCTGTGGGGTGTGTGTGTGTGTGTGTGTGTGTGCTGTGTTGCCATGCATGTGTCTGTGCGTGGGTGTGTGTGTGCATGTGTGTGTGTGGATGTGTGTGTGTGTGTGCGTGTAGCGCGCACGTGTGTGTGTGTGGCCTTGTGTGTGCGTGTGCTGGAGCGGTGTGTGTGTTTGTGTCGTGTGTGTGGGCCGGATGTTGCGCCGCGGTAGTGTGTGTGTGTGCTGTGTGTGTGTGTGTGTGCGGTCGTGGTGTGGTGTGGTGTGTCGTGCGTGGTGTGTTAGAGTGTGTGTGTGTGGTGTGTGTGGCTGTTTGCTTGCGTGAATGCTCCCGCGGGTGGGAGGGTAGCAGGGAGGGGGTCTTTCTGACCGTTCAGCCTTGCCGTCGTCCCGTAACAACAATAAACTCCATCGCCACGACTTGCTGACTGGCTATAACCTACGATGTACGGGTGATTAAGAACTTCGAAGAAGAGAGGTGTGGTATAGGAAAGAACAAGAAGGCACGATGGAAAGGGCGAGAGAGAGCAAGAGAGGAAAGTTCGAGAGAGGGGAGAAGAGAGAGAGAGAGAAGAAGAGGTGAGAGAGAGAGAAAGATCGAGAGAGCGAGAAAGAGATGGAGGAGAGCAGAGATTAGGGAGGAGGATGCGAGAGAGATAGAGAGGCAGAGAAGAGAGAGAGAAGTCGAGAGAGAGAGCAGAGAGAGAGAGAGAGGGAGAGAACGCTACGTACCTAACCTGAACCTGATATGCCGTATGATAACCTGACATCTATCGTATATATATATATATATATATACCTGTATGTTATTAGGAATCACCTAAAACTGTTTTTTTATTCACTGCTGATGTTGACCCAAGTGCGTGTTTACGTGTTTTACAGTCCTAAACAGAAGGAGTGCATACGCACCCCGGGCTCTAAACTGGCGATTACAGAAGACTGCACGGCTAATGTGGTATCTAACTACAAGTTCTACCTAGCCTTCGAGAACTGCAACTGCAGGGAATACATAACGGAGAAGTTCTGGAGGAACGCCCTGCAGACCAACTCCGTTCCCATAGTGATGGGGGCGCCACGCGAGGATTTGCGGCGCTTCGCTCCTCCCGGCTCCTACATACATGTCGACGACTTCGAAACAGTTGAACAGCTGGCAAACTACCTACAGGAACTGGACGCCGACGATGTGGCCTACAGTAGATACTTCAGGTGGAAGCAACTCGGTGAAGTGTTTATGATGCCGAGAGATGCATACTGTAGGTTGTGCGAAGCATTGCACGACGCGAATGCACCTGTGCAATGGTACGACCATATCGACTACTGGTGGAGTAAAACAGACTGCGTTGCTCCCCATAAGGATATTGATGAAGAAACTGGCATGGGACTGAGAAATGATCCGAATAAATTCAAAATATCAGCACCTAAGTGATGCATGGCGTCTTCGCGTAGATTTTCCAAAAATAATCTTGCCTATGGCTACGTATATCGACGGTGGAAGATTCTAAAAAACACCAGCAATGATAAGCAAACTATGCTTTAACAAGTGTAGCCGCGACTGTGTTACATTTGGTGGCTTAATCAACATTTGATTTTTAGATTGCAGACCGTGCAGTGACGTTCTCCTTAGGCTCACCACGCTTCCTTAACATATGCAGCAGACATATACGTTGCCTTATGATAATATTGGGTATTCCCTAACCATCTGCGATATTTCACTGGTTTTTAATGAAATTCATATAATAAAGCGATATGGCGTCAAATCTTATAGACGTTGAGTCTGCAACTCACGCAGCAGACATTTGTCGGAATACGACAGACACCTTTGGCTTTGTTTTTGTTTTTGTTCAGCGCACACAGCAGACACTTGCCCTCTTGTATATTTTTGTATAATTATTTGTATTGTGTTGTATATATGTGAAGTGCATGCTGATGCTAAACGAGTAGAAATGCATGGCTCGTGCGACGCACACAGTTGCTTCTCTGACCTTGAGACAAAACAAGGTCTTGATTAACAAACATGTTGGATCCCAACGATAATTGGCGATAGACAATTGTTTTGAAGTTTGAGCTGTGTAGACCTTGCAAGTCGATCGACCAGCACTTTGCACCCGATGCGGCTTGTTTTGTAGCTGTAGCACCTACATGTGTAGCCATTTTCTCCGCAATGGGATGTTAATTGTTGCTTGAACCAGCTTCAGTGAGCAGCTAGGCACGGCTTCCCGCTCGTACTGCTTGTATATGAAAGAATCTATTCTGGAGCTTGGGTAGAGATCTGTAGTCAGCATCTCCAAAGGTAGCCAACAAGACTTTAAAGATGTTCTCAGAATAGTCCCTCACTCTTGTTCTGCAAGTCACGTCCATACGGGCCTTAATTGTCCCCACATATACTGCAGAACTATTTTTCCTCCTTAGAACCCTTGTGTGGTGCCAGTTGGGCCCGCATGTCGGCCGCATGTCCCCAACCCATTCTTCGATATCTGAATCTGATAACCTTTCTAGACGATCGCGGAACCGGTCTACCCATATGTGTGTGTGGGGGGGGGGTGCATACAAAGACATATACTGACACACAAACCGTGTAATATATAATAATATATAAAGTAATATATAAGTATAAGTAATATATATATAAATTAATATATATAGTCTTTGTATATTATTATCATGGCGACACAGCACACTCGCAGCGGCGAGTGCGGAAGCGTTCGGCGTTAGTTTTTATGAAGGAAAGTTGATATACAGTGACACAACCGTGGAACTGTAATTGAGAGGTACGGTAGTAGGGCCTATTTGTGAATGTGCGTTCATATTATTTTCAGTTTTTACTGACTCTGTCCCAAATGCCTGTGGGTGAAATAATATAAAAGAATTATCGGGAGGCAGGTATATATGTGAATATCCAGATGCCCACTTCAATCTTACGCAGCTGGTCTGGGTCGGGCCTTCTGGTCTGGGTAGGTTATCCACGACTATTTTATCAGGTTAGCAGAACGTTTTCTAGCTCTTCCTAACTGGTCCTACTCCTCCGCATCGGGGCTGCCACTGCTGGGATCCTTCTGCATTTTCTGCACACTTGTGACGAAATACCTTCTTCGGGACGCCAGGAGGCAGCACCAGTTGACGCTTGGGCCGACCACTGAGCGGTATGTAATAACATTATTGTTATATATTATACCATATGTACCACTATTATGTATATATAGCCGTACTCAGTGGGGCCACCCCGGTTCGAACAAAAAAATGAGAGGGGAAGGACGGAGAGAGATGGGGGAGCGAATATAGAAAAAATACCGTTTAAACCAATAATTAACACACTGCATGGGGGTTAAAAATAAACTGAAAAAACACAAGTATGTTCGATAGTGTCAGTTTTGAAACATAATGTTCTGTGTGTCGTGAATAATTTTTAGCTGGCTGACTACCGTTACTGTTCGACGTATTCGTGGTTCGTGCACTGCAATAATTGCAAATCTATGTACGATACTTTTATCATCCATATGCGTCTGTTTAGTAAAAAATGCTTTCATGATTATTCTTATTCAGTAAATATTTTTAATATGACGCTGGATAGAACACATTGAATAACATTAATTTCTAGCCATTTACACAGGTACTGTGTGTGTGTGTGTGTGTGTGTGTGTGTGTGTGTGTGTGTGTGTGTGTGTGTGTGTGTGTGTGTGTGTGTGTGTGTGTGCGTGTGTGTCTGTGTGCCAGTACATGTTTGTAATAAGTCCAATCTAATCCATCTTCCCCACATCGATCATGTTTTTAATGGTCCGGCAAATAATTATAGTGTGGTGGTCGGCGTGGTGAAGCTTGGAGATGGGGGTCGCTTCCTGCTGCTGCCCGGTGCGGGTTTTGTGGAGTAAACAGTCCAGGGCGCATGAAACATCGCAAAGCTTAGCCGTAAGTCCCTTGAATAATAGATATTTGAAATGCGCTGCATCAAATCGGTACGCGTGGAATAAGAGAGGAGGAGACGAAGAGGAGAGGAGAGAGGCAGATAGAGCGGGAGAAGAGAGGCAGCAGAGAGAGAGAGAGAGAGAGAGAGAGAGAGGAGGGAGAGAGCGAGACGAGAGAGAGTGAAGAGGAAGAGAGCGAGCGAAGAGAGAGAGAGAGAGAGAGAGAGAAGAGAGAGAGAGAAGAGGAAGAGAGAGAGAGAGAGAGTAGAGAGAGCCGTGACGCGAGATAGAGAGAGGCGGAGAGGACGAGACGGGCGCGCGAGCGAGAGAGAGAGAGGCCAGAGGGAGAAGGAAGAGAAGAGAAGAAAGAAAGAGAGAGAGAGAGGAGAGAGAAGAGAGAGAGAGAGAGAGGGTAGAGAGACGCGAGCGAAATAGAAAAGGGAGAGGCGAGGGAGAGAGAGGC